AAAAATAAATTAATTTACAAAATATAAATAAATACAAACCTTATTTTAGAATAAATTTTGTGAAATTAAAATGAATTTAAAATTTAAGTTTTATCAATCGAATTTATTTTAAAAATTTAAGGGTTCCTTTTATTATTTAAAAAACGGAACTTTAATTAAAATGTATACTTTTCAAGTATAATTAAATACTATTTGACAAATTTTAAAGTGATATACTGAAACACGTTTTTGATTGATATCAATTTCAATGCTGACCCTCCGATGGTCCTTTTCACTCTCTAAAAGTCTATTCATAGAAAAAATTGGGAATCATTCACACTTTGAATTAGATTTTTAATGACATTTTTTTTCCAATGAAAACTACTCGCAAATAATTCATTCTATTTGATAGTGTTAAAAAGATAAAAACTACATAATAATAAAAGCTATTAATATATGAAAAAATACATTATAATACAATTTGAGAAAACTTAAACAAAGTAAGTGGGCATATTTTCTCAATCCCGATTTGATTTTAAAATATTATTAGTACAAGTAAAATAAATTAAAAATAAAAATGACAACTCGTTATCGTCAATATTGTCTATCTAAACTATAATAAAAAAATTTGTCCATATTTGTGATATTCATTTAAAATATATTCACCAATATTTTAAAATTAGCAAATAAACGTGGATATCAAAAAATATTTAAAAATATATTTTATAAAATTTTAAAATAAAAATTAAATAAAATTAAAAAATATAATATAATTTTTTTTTAATTTTGAATAAATTATAAAATTATTTTAATTTTTACTAAATTTAAATTAATAAATTATATATTAATTTATTTTTTCGAATGAATATAATACTTCCATCCGATCCATGTATAAAATAAATATCATTCCTACATCAATTACGTTCTTACCCTTATATTTTTGGCTCAAAAAGAGATTCTATGATTCGAAAAGAAAAAGAAGAATGATTGTGAAATTTATTATTTCATTTTATTTATATGTATAAATATTTGATTTTCCAGTTCTCTCTATATACATATATAATCGATTATCTATTTTTTATATATAAAAAAATGAATAGTTAATTATTATATGAATATAAATAATATAATTAATATGATATAATAAAGTAGTAATTGAAAAGACAGTTAGATATTACATTATCTATAAGTTTTTCTTGTGAAAAAAATGACTTTTATATTGTGTATTTGGAAAGCTTTGATGTAAAATATATTTATAAATTACACAATTTAATAACAAAAAAATATTTGAATTACATAATTTGAATGTTAGAGATAATTTTGATGGTACGAGTCACAAAATTTCCAAAAGTAAAATATATTACATATTAAATATTCTGAAAATAAATAAAAAACTCATGAATTGTATAATTTAGAATATTTTTTTAATAAAAGTTGAAAGTCTTTGGATTTATGCAATGCGTAAAGAAAATACGGTGGTGCAGAAAGTAATCTCCCTACATCACAATACACAAGCTGGAAACTTGTTACTGTGACCATAAGAAGACTATGTGTTGCTTCCTCCACCACCCCAAGTGCTCCTGCATCTCCTCATTATTTTCATTTATTCCAAAAATATTCTACACCTCTTTACTATTTTTTTTTATTCCAAAAATACCCTACATCTTCCCACTATCCTCAACAATCTTTCTCTTTCTTTCTCTGCATTAATAGAACATTTATATTCTCAACGATCTTTCTCTTTCTCTCTCTGCATTAATGGAGCATTTACATGGCTCAGATTTGAATTTGTGATATATTGCAAAATGTAAAATAATTTGAATATTATTTACATGACTCAAATAACTTGAATAAAGTATTTAATTTATTAGATAAATAATATAAAAATATTATTAAATACTTAAAATATAAAAGAAAAGTTATTTGTTAAATATTTGGAATTTATTTAGTTATTTCGTTATTATAAAGTTAGTATATAATAATAATATATTATTATTATTTACTATTAATATTATTATGTTTATTATTTTATATTTGCATCTAACTTTTAAGTTTATAAAGTGGAAGTGATAGAAGCACTAATATTGAAGTTTTTCTGAATTTTATATTTTGCAATATATCACAAGTTCAAATCTAAAGATTATTGAGGATAGTGGGAAGGTGTAGGATATTTTTAAAATAAAAGAAAATAGTGAAAATGTGTAGAGTATTTTTAGAATAAAAAAAAAATAATGGGAAGATACAGGAGCACTTGGGGTGGTGGAGGAAGCAACACCCGAAGACTATTGCAAAGCTCAAGGCCCAAATAGTCTCAACAATTTTTTTTCATTATTAGCCCAATTAATGGTTGAGGCCTGTATTAACCACCAATTTGGCATTTCGGCAACAATAATGTTCACAGTTTTTATTAATTTTAGTATGGTTATTATTTTACAAATTATGATGAAAAATTACATGAATAAATTAAATAAAATTAATTTTTGAGTATTTTTGTTAATAATATCTTTTAAGTTGAAAATCTTGTATGATATCTTTGTACTTGTTTTAAAATATTTAAATACTACATCGAGTTTGAATATCTTTGACTGAGTAAAAATATTTTAATAACAAAACTAAAACAATTACGTTTCCAAACTTAAATTTTAACTAGACTCTGATTTTACAAGTACTCAAAATTAATAAAGTGATGAATATTTAAATGAATTTTGAAATAAATTCATATTTACATTATTTAAATTAAAAATTATGTGCAGGTATTAAGCTGTAAAAAATGAGATAAATGTTAGTGAAAATCTGTTTATCACATTTATTCAGCGCACCTTTCATTGTTACTTAAAAATATATTCCAAGGTACAGAATTATAACTAGAATTTATCATGACATGGAATTTATAATTAAGTAGGTGTGATATTATAAGATAAAAAATTGTAATTATGTGTATATCTGTATGAAACAATATAATTTAACATATTTAGCATCCAATAAGAAAAAACTATCTGTGCAACATTTAGACAAAACCCAATCAGTTTAATTTACTTTATTTATATGTTGCATAAACGTATTGGTGATTCCTTTGATAGAAAATAATCAAAATCTACTTTATTTGTGATTTTTTTTCTTAATACGATTTATTTTTTATTCATTAATACATTGCCAATGAGAAGTACAATCTGCTTACATTTTATTTATAACAGAATTTTAAATTTCTTGTTATAGTTATTTATATTAAAATATGATGTAAAACATTCATTTAATAAAAACTCAATCTACAGATTCCTAAACTTTTCATCCATAATAAAAAGTACGTAAAAAATACATAACAAAGGTACTGTTCACGTTTACTAAACAAAACAAACTATCGTTAATTATATTTCGGTGTAATTCAGATTTTTTCCATTTTACATAACAATTTTTTTTCCTATAAATGTAACAGTACATGCAATAAAAATAGACAGATGTATATAAAAATTATTATCAAACAATAAATATAAATTAAAATGTAGAAACCAATTTAAGGTTAATATGATTAATTAAAGATTTGGTGAACAAGTCATGTTAGTAAAACTCTAAAAAAACACATGATAGATAATAACCTACATAATATAAGTTCACATCAAAACTCTACGATAAAGATATTATAAATAATATTGGTGAAGTTATGCATTCATAATTACATTTTTTGTGATTTTTTCATAAATATTTGACTTCGGTGTTAAAGTGTATTAACAACTATATTTTAGATCTATAAATACTTGGACTTAAATGAAAAATTTCAGCCTTCAAAGTAGGAAGATTTGATACAACTAGAAAATCATAACGAATGAGTATATTGTGTGTTTAAATATAGCAAAAACATAATACTATATTTTATTTTACAAGGATATTAAGGTAGATATGAAAAAGTAAAAGTTGTAGAATTTTGTTGTTGCTAACATAGATTTTAAAAAGTATATCATAGTATTTAAGTTAACAAATATATCATAGTTAATAATATGATGACTAATATGCTAAGCAAATTAACTTAACAGTAAAAAATATCGCATCATTAAATATAACTAAATTAATACGAAATGTAAATTCATTTTATCTTATAATTTTGTGAATGTATAACTTTAATTTATGTAAAATGTTTAAATATACATTTAATTCTTTAATTTCACAAAATTTCTTGATCTATTATTATACTATCCAATTTTTATAGAAAAATGTGCATGTCTGTCAGTTGTAATCGTGTCAATCACTGCTTAACGTAAAATAATAATAACAACAACATTTAAGTTTCATGTTGATAAGTTATTAACATAAAATATTAACAACGAAGTTGAATATAAGAGTTAACATATTAATTAATAATCATGGAATAATTATTTCAATTTTAGAAAATTGAGGGATAGATTTTTTATAAAATTCGAAATTACAGGAACGGATTAAGTTATTTTAGGGCAGAAAAAGATCATGTAACTTGACATTTAAAGAGGATGATCAATAAATTATTTTTTAATAATAAATAAAATATGTTTTAATAACGACTTTACACGTCAAACTCACCTCCCAAAATTATATCTTAACAAATTATTGAAAATAAAAATAAATTTAAATCCGAATAAAAAATAAAATTAAGGAATAAGTTATTATTTATCAATATACTCAAGAAGGACGGATTTTTTTGGATTGAAATGTGCTTTTACCTTCCCAATTTTTTCTTTATGTGTATAAAATTTAATGTATAATTTAAAATATTTTTTATATATTTAGTATCTCAACAAAATTTATATGTTTCGATAAAAATTTTGACGCTCTCAAAATAAAATATTTATGAAATAAATTATTCGAGTTTAATTTCATTGAGTGGAATCATATGAAATAGCTTGTAAATCCGGGATGAGATGAGACAATGACTTGTGTCCCTAGGCGAATTCGGATAAACTAATGTTTAATATTATACTAAATAAGGTATAAACTATAAAAAACTAATCTTACTTTGCACAAAATTTCAATTTTAAAAAGAATGCCAAATCTGGGAGTTCATCATAACTGCTACCGAAGACAGATAAGAATTGAATTTTCATAACAAAGGGAAGTTTCCAAGAACCTCAACTATTCTACATTACAATTCATATTCTGGTACTACTTAATTAGCTTATTGTTCTCAAATCCCCTCTGTCGTTACCTAAAAAAGGAATAAATAATACCCTTAAAACCTTTTGAACTTTTCAATACTAAGTCGCTTTCGCTTTAGCCAGTTTCAACGTTTGAGGTTTTTGGAAATTCATTCATAGTTTCATAATCTGGGAATTCAACGAGGTAATGCATTTCTTCTCCAGTATATATATGTTTTTTTTTTCTTTTAATTTGGTTGTGTTACTTTGCTGAGTTGAGTAGAATCTGAAAGACTGCAAATTTGGTTCAGGGTTTGGTTCGTTGTGAACTTGGTGGGTTTTGTTAGAAGATTATTGCGAACCGACGTATTGGGGGTTGTTGGATGTTTGTATACAATTCTAGGTGTACCTTACTTCCAACCAATTTGGGTTTGTGTCAATTAATTGGATTGCGTTGTATTTGTTGACTTTGGTTTCGAGACTGCGAATAATCTCGCATCCATTGCTTGTAGGTTGTTCTAAAGGACGTGAGATTTTCAATGTCAAGTTTATGAGATAGGAAAATTGAGTCTCTAAGTTGGGGGGTTCTGGATCAAGCTGTTCAGCACATTTAATTTTTTGTTCATTTGTTGGGAGGGTATTCAGGGTAGCTGCAGAAGGTTCATGGAACTAGCTCAGCATAGAGTTAACGAGAATGGGTTGGGCGAGGACAGTGAAACTTCTGCACGGGTTCCTCTCAGGGATCGCCGTGTCTACCCTGGCAATCCTGCAGGCTTGGTGAGGAAGAGGGCTTATATATTTGACGGCACCGGGAACTTTTATAACAAGGATTGGGATCTGGCAGACCTTTTTCAGAAAAAAGAGAAGGAACTGGAGTTACGGGAAGGTAGAGGGAAGGAGTTTTCTTGGTACCATGTGGAATTACCGAAAGGAAATCAGAAGTTGTCACAATCTGCAGAAGACCTGATTGGTGTTTTCTGCCCCCCATTGAAACTCCAAGACATTCTTTCACTTGTTAGCAACGGACCCTTTTGTGCACATGTAGATGGGGCGCTTGTCTTCCGTGTTAATTCGCCTGGTCCTCCCTCCAGTGACTTCACATTTAGGATTGCTGCTAGAGTTAGTGAACATTCAGTAATTACCGTGTCATTGGGACGTGTTCCCAGGTTAGGCTTCTCACGCGTGGGTGAATCTCTTCTATCAGAGATTCCTAGTCTCGAAAGTTCCTCTTCTTTAAGAGGTCAGCAGGGGGAAAGAGGGGGTATAGTTATTAAGGAGCATGTTCTTGAATTCTTATTGACTATGAATCACTCTGAGGAAGCTGACAACCCTGTGCCCAGATCTGTCTCAAATCTTGTAGTTCACATAATTGACACACATGTAGATCAGCTTCAAGATCTTGTGACTAAGCTTGAGATGGAGTTGGACTCTGTGGAGCTGGACTTGGATAAAGGTAATTTTCATTATACTCTCCTGATCCTCGCCCTCCCTATATGTTCTCAACTTTCAGTACTCTTCAGAGTTTCAGTAGCAAATTTGTTCTATTCCTGATTCCTGAAAGAATGCCTCAGTTTTTAACTTTCTGTAAACTGACTTGGAAAAAACACTGATGTGAATTTAGACATACTCTGTGGCCATTCTAGTATAGAAGAGTCAAAATTGTCTAGCAGATGACATTTTGAAGTTTCTGATGATTGATTTGTTTGATATTTTTACCTCTGATTTCATTCTACAAATATAAGTTGTTATATTTGTGCATGAGAAGAGATGAAAGAAACCAAGTTGCCAAATAAAAGCGTTACCCCAAAGCCTCTTTCTGATTTTATTTTTCCATGTCTGTTAACTGAATTAAATGATTTCTTTATCTAGTATCTTAATGATGCTTCTCCTTCGAAATATTCTATATGGTGCACTACTAGTCTTTTCATTGTGGGCTTGTTCATTCTTGCATTGATCTCAATGGATTATTAATCTAACGGAACAAATTACTAACTAATTATCAGTTAAAGAGAAATGTAAACAACACACTTTTTATTTTGAGTAAAGTCCATGTAGTAGCAGTACCCACTACATAGGGATTGGGATTGTATCTTAATGGATTATTAATCAGATGACGCAAATTACTAACTATTTATCGGGAAAAGAGAAATGAATAACAAACGTTTTTTTGGGTGAAATCCATGTATTTCACCAAATTTTGTGTGAAGTTCAAAAGATTTGGTTCATATTTTTTCGCAGTATTTAGGCATACGTTTAGTTAATGGTAATATGATTACTGATTTTGTGAAAACCTATATGTGTGTGTGTTTGCCCATACATTTCAAGGCTCACTTAATATATTTTGACTCCAAAATATGGCATTGCCATCCTTGCACATGCATCCTGGTGCCTCCTTTTGTTAAGTGTAGTGTTTGAGGTTATCATATGCTTGGCAAATTATTCGTATCTTTAAATGTTTTGCCCATTACTATGCAATGAGGAGGCTAAGTGGATACCTTTTAGAGCATAGTGTTTGACAGGAAGTGACTGTTTTTGATGGACATCAAATTGTTAGTTGTTTACTCCTCCTTCCCCTAGCCAAAAGGTGAAAAGAGGGAAGTAATTCCTTGTATAGCTGGTTATAGTAAACTTAAATTTCTGCTTCCAAGATGTTTTGTGGAAGTTTCTTCTAGACAACTTCCTCGATGTGCTATATTTTGAAATGGTTTTATAGAATTGAGTAAGGAACAATTGTTCTGCGTATTGTAGGTGGTTATGCTCTGAAGAAACAAATGCTAGATGACAGAAGATTCCCCAAACTGCATATTAATTTGCAGCGTCTCTTGCAGGTGATACTTCACTCATCTGTTCATTCCCTCTTGTAGAAAGCATATTCATTGGTTGATCATGAATAATTAAACATCTTATTTTTTGTGATCCAGACATAAGGGTTGTCAATTTCATCGTCATATCATAGTATATTCATTGGCATCAGGATAGAATTGTCTTTTGAATTCAGAGATGCAGATAGATCTGGAAGAGGGGAGGTATAAAAAGATAGTTACGCCTTTCATTCTGCATGCAGGAAAATAGGGTGTTCATCTTCCTTTTGTCACAATTCTAACTCCTTTCTTAAAATTACTTTCAAAATTAAAAATAGTAAGACTTTATGTAAACATAATTGCTACTGGAAAATGATTCTGCTTTATTGTATTAGGGTGGAAAATGAAGAAGGAAAGAGCAGGTTGTCAGCATATATAACAAATTACATTAATTAGTACTGTTACCATGATTGGAATGACATGACTGTTTCCATCTGATATGTTCTCATATTTATCGAATCAAAATTTATTTGTATGAACTAAACTTCCTTTTGGTTTTGTTTTAATTAAACTCTATTCAGGTGATTGCCCATGGAGAGCAAGTATATCTCCGAGTCAAAGAAAAATGTTCTTCAAAAAAATGGTTTGCCAGTGATGATCTTAACTCCCTCGAAGAACTAATTGGAAGGTTAAGGAGGATGAAGGAGAATGTAGGGTTTATAGTAAATCGTGTCACAGCAATTCAGGCCGGTTTAGACAGCTGGCAATCGGAGCAAATAAACAGGAAGCTGTATTATCTCTCTTTCCTTTCAATAATATTCCTCCCTTTGTCGATAGTAACAGGAGGTTAGAGCATCTCAACCCGGTTTCTTTCTTTTTCTTGTTTCTTTACATGTGTTTGGAAAAACTTAAATTCCATATCGAGATAACAAGAAAATATTGTATATAAGAAGGAATAATTTTCATCAAATAAATTGGTTTTGTAGGGTTGAGTTAGATTTAAATCTATAACAGTATTAGAGTCTTCTCTAGTATTGGACACTATTGAGAGAGACAAATTCAAATCTTACTTTGACGGCATATAATGCCAAAATATTTATAAGTGGAGATAATGTTTCACCGTAAGGATTCAGTTAGAGTTAACTTCCTTTTAGAGAATGTTTTAAGTTGGTCCCGCCATCATGCAAAACTTAATTTTATTGTTCACTTCACTACGAAACAAACTTTTCTCTCAAACCTCACATCTTAATCTGACATTTTAAGCAACTTTTCTCCTTTACGATTACACATCACTAATTTTTACTTGTTTATAGAAGTACACAATCATGGTCCATAGTCCACAACAAATTGCATGCTCAGATTCATGTCAGTTTTAATAAAAAACCGCGTCCGTTTTTCCTTTGATGGAAAAGCTAATTAATTAGTTTGGATGTGATTTTTTGCCTGTAAACATGAAACCAAACAGGTTAAAAGATTTTTGCACGGATATTTACTGGTGTCTCACTGAAACTCCATAAGCACTCCGTCCAATGGTCAACTCTTATTAACCACAAATGCTTAATCATAGTATATTTGTTATGAACTTTTTTTTATCAATGTCCACCGACCATTCCATACTGGTTTGATTTTGTTATTCTTGAACTGTGATTGCAGTCTTTGGCATGAATGTTGGAGGAGTTCCATGGACAGGTCAAAATGCCCCAGAACTAAAAGATGGTTTTCGCAATGTCATCTTACTCTGCGTTGCAATGTTATTTCTTGTACTTCTCTGTTTCATTTTCCCAGCCCTTTATACTCGTATAGCTGCTGCATGGCGAAATAAGAGGGCTCTGAGAAGAAACTGGTCACTGAACAGGAAGTCATTGCTGAGGAGATCATTGAGAATGGGAGATCAAGACAGAGGAGGCTATCTGCGGATTTAATGGTTCATGTCATTGCCTATTTCATCTACGAATGAACAACATTTAAGTCGATCAGTACATACATCTGTTTTCCCAGAATGCCTCGCTTGAAAGCCATTTTATCAGCTGCTTTTCAAAGACACATGCATAAGAAACTTAATAAACTGACAATTGTTGTCCGTAAAACAATCATCTGAAGTCTAAATGAAATTCTCACGAGCCACGACTTCTCAGGTTGAGTAAAATGGAGATTGTGATTCTTTCATTGTTCCCTTCCCCCACGTTTAGAAGAGGGTCCATTCCTTTCTGTCATGACTACATTTCAAACTTGTACAGTGTAATTTTCTTTTTTGGTTTAATTTCTGATATTATTAATTGTCACTGATAGATCATGAGAACCATGCCATATCCATTCCCAACAATTCAATTTTATTTATTTATTTACATTCTTTAGTTCTTAAATTAGTTTACTTTTAAGATAATCCTTAATTATTTTTTTATAATTTGAAGTAAGACATATATTTAATCCAAAAGCTTCAATTTTTTTCCTTAAATAGTAATGACGAATTCTTGCATTTCATCCGTAATTTTTTTTTATATTAAACTCTAATTATTTGAACAACAAAATAATAAAATTATAGCTACTTTTTATGAGTTATATTTTATCTGAAAGAACTTTAAAAACTGTACCGATTTTGAAGTGTGATTCACACAGTTAGCTGTGGTACTTAAAAGAAGATTAACAAAATTGGCAATATTATAAGAAAAAAATAGAAAGAAAATTTGGCAATATTCAGGCTGCCCTAAGTCTAAGTATGAAAAATAGAAAGAAAAAAATAAAATCTCTACTTAAAATTGCTAATATATAATTTATTAAAATTAACAATTCATCAGTATTTACTGTATCATAAACATGTACTGCATTCCATCTAAATATAGAACTATGACACTGTCAAAACAAAAGAGTACCTACCAACCAATGGAGTTGTGTGCGTGGTAGTCCTACGTGCCACATAACCCAACCAAACACCCGTGACGACACCGTTTGGAGTGATCATCTAGAACCTTCCTAGTCTGAGTTTCTCTATCATTCAAAGTAGAAGAACTAGAACAATCTGCCACCTTCCTCTGGAACCGACACCGTTTTCTTTTCTTTTTTTTCTATTACAAGCACCAAAACCCTAAACCCTTCTTCTCAGAGATATAAAAACACATCTCACCACCTTCACGTATCTCCATTTACTTCTGATCAATCTCCCCTCTTGGTTATGGCTGCCGTGCTTCGCTCTCTCCGCCGCCGTGATGTCGCCTCCGCCACCTTCTCTGCTTATCGCTCGGTAGCTCCTTTGCCTTTTCCCTGCCTTCTTCTTTTCATTATTTATATGATTACTTGTTGTGATGGTTGCTCCATGTTACCTGGTTTTCCCGATTTGATTCATATAGGCCTTAACTATTTCTGTTTCTCATGTTTTGTTTTGAGCTATCTATTTATTGATTTTGATCATGGCTAGAATTGCTTATAATTTTAGATTTCTATTTTTCGTTATTCTAATTTTTTATCTTGTGTTTTCTTGGTTGTGGGATATCGATGTGTCGCTGCGTGCAAACTTATGGTTAAGGAAAAACATCTATAGTTCACCAGTCCTTATGCTCTAGATCCTTGAATATGAGTCTTTAGAAATTGTGTTATGAATGTGAATTTTATGCCAAAATTGTATACGGCTTATATAAGCAGTAATTGTACTGACTGAAGTTTTTTCTAAATCATCCGTGTTTTAGTGGACTTCGTAGCTGCTCGATGATAGTGCTTTTGTCAGTTTTAATCTTTGTTTTTCATGAATCATGACCTGCTTTTCTAGCAATTCTTTGATTTCTTTATTCTACATCTAACCTTAAACCTCGTCTCCCTTCTTTTATTTTTTATTTTGGACTTTTGGGTACCGAAAGAAGTACTCGGGTTATTGTTGTCATTATGCCGTTGTTCATTTTGAATTGTGTTCTGAATAATGAGTGACAACTGTAGTTTTGGTGGAAGATTTTTCTTACTTTCACGTTTTTGTGCAGTTGACGGGAAGCACTAAGCCTGCATATGTAGCTCAGAAGTGGTCTTGTTTGGCTCGACCATTCAGGTGCGATTAGTTGTTATGGTTTTGTAATAATCCTCCTCATTAGGTGTTGATCAAAATTATTCACTGTGGTTTTTCATCTTCACTACAGTTCAAGACCTGCTGGAAATGATGTCATTGGTATTGATTTAGGTACAACTAATTCATGTGTTTCCGTCATGGAAGGAAATGTAACAGTAATGTGTGTTCACTTTTGGATTGTTTGTTCGTGTATGTATGCTATTTGTGCTGACTCAAGATATATCTTTTCAGAACCCCAAAGTTATTGAGAATTCTGAGGGTGCTAGAACAACACCGTCTGTGGTTGCTTTTAACCAGAAAGGGGAGCTGCTTGTTGGTACCCCAGCCAAACGTCAAGCTGTAACTAACCCGACAAACACTGTCTTTGGTACCAAGCGTTTGATCGGTAGACGATTTGATGATCCTCAAACACAAAAGGAGATGAAAATGGTTCCGTTCAAGATTGTTAAGGCTCCAAATGGTGATGCGTGGGTTGAGGCTAATGGACAACAGTATTCTCCTAGCCAAATTGGTGCTTTTGTTCTCACCAAGATGAAGGAAACAGCAGAAGCTTATCTTGGAAAGTCAGTTACGAAGGCGGTAATTACTGTACCGGCTTATTTCAATGATGCTCAAAGGCAGGCAACAAAAGATGCTGGTAGAATTGCAGGTCTTGATGTGCAGAGAATTATCAATGAACCCACTGCTGCTGCACTTTCATACGGAATGAACAACAAGGAGGGTCTCATTGCTGTTTTTGACCTTGGAGGTGGAACATTTGATGTATCCATCTTAGAAATTTCGAATGGCGTGTTTGAGGTATGCTGATTTGTCTCTTCTACGTCTTTCATTCCTTCTTAACCTGTCAAAATTAATAATAGGACGAGATTGTACTGACATCATCTTCGTATTAAGGTGAAAGCAACAAATGGTGATACTTTCTTGGGAGGAGAGGATTTTGACAATGCCTTGTTGGATTTTCTGGTGAACGAATTTAAAAGAACCGAGAGTATTGACCTTTCAAAGGACAGACTTGCACTGCAGAGGCTTCGTGAAGCTGCTGAGAAAGCCAAGATAGAGCTGTCTTCAACATCTCAAACTGAGATCAACCTGCCTTTCATTACTGCTGATGCTTCTGGTGCTAAGCATCTGAACATAACATTGACTAGATCTAAGTTTGAGGCCTTGGTAAATAACTTGATCGAAAGGACCAAGGCACCATGCAAAAGCTGTTTGAAGGATGCTAACATCTCTGTCAAGGATGTTGATGAGGTTCTTCTTGTCGGAGGGATGACTAGGGTACCCAAAGTTCAAGAGGTGGTTTCAGAGATATTTGGAAAGTCTCCCAGCAAAGGTGTAAATCCTGATGAGGCAGTTGCCATGGGGGCGGCAATCCAAGGTGGTATCCTACGTGGAGATGTTAAAGAGCTACTGCTCCTGGATGTAACTCCGCTTTCTCTGGGTATTGAGACTTTGGGAGGTATCTTTACTAGGTTGATCAACCGCAACACAACTATTCCCACTAAGAAGAGTCAGGTAATCCTTAATGCTACTAACGATTGCTTTAGAAAATTCTTTCTAATTTAACCTTGAAATCATACGTATACAGTCAATATATACAGTCAAGGTTGTTTAGTTAAAGTTCCCCATGAAGTATTGTGTATCTACTGCAATATATATACACTGTTTAGGTTTAAATATACAGGCTCTTCTTCTCCGGAGTATGCATTATTGCTATGTTGTTGAATCTTTTCTGAGCATCATTGTTTCAGGTCTTTTCAACTGCAGCCGACAATCAAACTCAGGTCGGTATCAAGGTGCTACAAGGTGAGCGGGAAATGGCTACAGACAACAAAATGCTTGGAGAATTTGACCTTGTTGGTATTCCTCCTGCTCCCAGGGGTCTTCCTCAGATTGAGGTCACGTTTGACATTGATGCCAATGGTATTGTTACCGTCTCTGCCAAAGACAAGTCTACTGGGAAAGAACAACAAATCACCATTCGGTCATCTGGCGGACTCTCGGAAGATGAGATTGAAAAGATGGTCAAAGAAGCAGAATTGCACGCTCAGAAAGACCAAGAAAGAAAGGCTCTTATTGACGTTAGAAATAGTGCTGACACTACTATATATAGCATTGAGAAGAGTTTAGGAGAATACAGGGAGAAGATTCCCAGTGAAGTGGCCAAAGAAATTGAGGATGCAGTTTCAGATTTGAGAAAGGCGATATCTGGGGATAATGTTGATGAAATTAAGTCTAAGCTTGACGCTGCAAACAAAGCTGTATCCAAAATTGGGCAGCACATGTCAGGTGGTTCTAGTGACGGTTCCTCAGCCGGTGGTTCACAGGGTGGGGACCAGGCTCCAGAGGCAGAGTATGAGGAGGTCAAGAAGTGAGGCGAGGAAGGGTTACGTCCCACTACATTATGATGTATTGTTTAGATCATAAGTTAGAGAGATGAATCATCTTTTTGTCATTTAGCATATCATATAAGGTCACTTATTTTTGTACTAAAGGTTGGAGTTCATTTTTTTACTTTGAGGCCTTTCCTATGTGTAGTACTGGATTATGCTCCTACTTGAATGACGATATTCAAAGTTTTGCCTTCTCGTGCCTTGCCTCCGCAGACGAAGCCAAACTTCCAACAATCATTCAATTTAAATTTTGTAATATCACTGAGTTATGGGTGGGAGTTTTAGTAGCACTTGATCAGTGAGAAAATGTTTCGAAATATGAATAGTAAAAGCGATTGGAATTATTAATGAGTACCGTTGCAGTATAACACTGACATGGGTAGTATGTTGTGTGACTTTTCTAGTCATTGAGTGTGTATATAAAGTGACTTTTCTTGTTAGCAAAACAAGAATAAACATGTCATTCTCTTTACTTGCACCATTTTACCATCACATCTGATATACAAAAGTGAGTTTAGAGAAATATAGGTTTATTATATTTTTATATGCATTCCAATCATTACATTTTTCTATAATTTTTTCTGTTTATTATGAATTGTGTATATTATAATTATTCATGTGTATTTTTTTTTGTTCAAAATTTGTTGTTGTAGTACATATGTTGTGTGATTTCAATATTTTACTTTACAAAATTAAGTTTTCCTCTTTAGAAATTATATGGAACATTTTATTCATCAAATGATTCTAATCTTAAAAAAGATAAATTTATTATGATTAGTGAGCCAAAGTATTATGTTTTTAGTTTCTATTTCTATCTACAAGTTGATAACTAGAGATCACAACGAGTTGGAGAAGTTGGGTCGGCATCAATAATGCTAAAAAATATTTGTGAATGGATATTCACAAATATTTTAAAAATATATTTTTATAAATTAATTAAATTTAATCTTATAAATATAAATTAATGTTAATTTTAATTAAATTTAACTTAATAAAATATAAATTGATTTTTATGTGGGTAACGGAATATATGTGAGTATGAATAGTATAATATTCGCATTTAATCCATATATAAGTGGATATTAAAATACTCGCAACCTAATAGTAAGTATTCACGGGTACCAATTATTTATCGTGGATTTTATTCACGAGTATATGGATTTTTTTATTATCTACTAGTAATGGATTAGATTATGTAATTAAAATTTTTATGGAATTTTCTCCAATTTTTTATTTAAAAGAATAAAATTTTACATTATTAATTTGTTTACACAATCATATCATTTGAAAAATCTAAATACAAATTTTACATGTATATAGAAACTAAATTTCATTTTAATTTAGGTGGATCAAAATGATTTAATTTTTTAAAAAAATAGAACTAAATTTAAACAATAAAAATACACTACCAAACAAAAATATACGACTAAATAAAGACTAATATAATGACATTTGATATGACATTGTCGTGTGTGATATAATGTTAGTTTGATATATGACAATATTTTCTTTTACAAAAAATATATAAAATATAAAAAATAACTAAAAATATATTTTAAAAAATGAAAAAAATAATGACTCGACGCATGATACTCTCTTTAATCGTGTTAGTACAACATTAACGATATCACCTACTTGTATTAATTTTTAAAAGATATATACTCAATAGGTTAAAAAATAATCAAGAGATCTATTTAAGAAAAATAAAAAAAATAAGAATTTCTCGAAAATAATTTAACCTAAAAAATTATATTCATTTACAAGTTTTAAAATAAACTAATTTTAATTTTGTATCCAAATTTAAAACCTAAAAACATATTTAACTATTATATGTATATATATATATATATATATATATATATATATATATATATTAATAATTAGTATAATAAAATATAATTTAAAAAATAAAATAAGTTGTTCAAGTTTACTTGCCTTAAGTTATATAAAAATTAAAAGGATATTCTGTAAGGATGATGTTATTTTCACATCTTTAAACCAAAAACATAACTTAAAATTCAAAATAGAAAAAATATACATGTTTATGTTTAGAAGAGTTAAATGACCCATCTCACAATATTCTATTTATAATGAAAAGCTTATACATACATACAAGATTAAGGAATTTCTACACATATTGGTGCAGAACTAAATTCAACTTACAGATATTTCCAACACTTTATCTCTGTATTTCCACTTAATGATAACACACAGATATAAATATTATAACAATATTTTAAATAATAATGTTTTAATAATATTTATTTTATTTTTTAACTAAAAATCTCAATATATTCTATTATATAAAAAGAATACACTCACAGAAAATATTTTTATTTTACAATTTTTTTGCAATATAATATTATATATTAAAATTTTAAGGTAAATAATTAAAATATTATTACTTAAATTATAAAGTGAATGTTTTTTCTTTTTCACAATGCTAAATTGATTTGGTTTGCGAAATGCACAAATATATATTTACAAGAAAAAAGAGGGGTAAATTGGTATTTTGTCCAATGCCACTGACTTTGTTTTCCCTCTTCTTAATTTTTTTAAAATTTTCTATTTATTACAAATTAGAAAATAGGACTTAAAATAAAATATAAAATAATTTATATATTGCTTTATTTATTTATTATGAATACACAGGAATTCTGCTTTAATCTTGTAACTTAGTAGAGGCCTTGCATCTCTATAAATGTCTTTTAATTAAATAAATACATATATATTTTCTACATATTTATTAATATTTTATATTTTTGAAAAGAAATTCCATAAAAGTAAAAAGTAGATTTCGAAATAAAGAAATAAATATGAATTCAAAGTCTAGACTCCAATATTGTTAGCTTTGCTGGCAGAGAGGAGTGTGAGAGTGTTTGAGAGGTTTAAGAATTGAAGCGGACCTAACCCTAACCTAAACCCTCGAACGACGCCGTCTTCCGCCGCAAAACCAATGGGTAGTGGCAGTAAGAAGAAGAGTTTCGTGGCCGAGGAACAAACCCTCGCCACCGAAGATTCTCCCAAACCGCTCAACAAAAAATTCAAGAACACTGCCGCCTCCGGTGATGGCCAGCAAGAACCTTCAGTCAAGCCAATGGAGAGGAAGAAGAAGCGCAAAGCCTTGGACAAAAAGCGGCACCGTACGTCATCACAACCGCAACCCGAGCCTGTAGCTTCTGAATCCAAACCAGTACCTAGTACCGCCGGCGGCGCTCTCCCGGAGTTTCACATTGGTGTATTCAAGGACCTTGCGGCGGCGTCCGAGGCGGCGAGGGAAGCCGCCGCAAAACAAATGGTGACGGAGTTGAAGGCGGTTCAGAGCGCCTATGATACGCGTGAGGAGAAGGAGAATGACGAGGGTGGATTCAAGTTGGAAGCAGAGAAAGACGATGGATTGGATAACTGTGCTCCGTCTGTGAGATACGCTGTTCGTAGGCTCATTCGCGGTGTTTCTTCGTCCAGAGAGGTTTGTGGTATTGTGTAATATTGTTCTGTTTTGGGTATTGGAATGTGGGAACTAGTTTTGTCTTTTAATTTAAAAGTTTGAATATGCTTTATGTTTTTAAGATTTATTTGTTCCTATTTTATGATGTTTTCTTTTTTATAGACGTTCTGTTAAACTGGTTCGAAGAAGGCTATGTTTTAGGCTTTTAAATGAAAGAAGCATGTATGGATATTCCGGCTTTTCGTATTTGAAATGCCGTTTATATGATGTTAGCATGGATCATAAGGCTTTTTGTTGCAACTTTTATTTAGAAAGAGATCTGACGATAATCAATCGTCTCTCTCTGAATTGTGCCAGGAAAATGTTGCTGATCATGATTAATTTTTATCTTGACGTTGATTATATAGGTTTTTGCTGGAATAAGTAAAATCTGCTCGTTGACGCGGGAAGTTGCTTGCTGATCTTTTGCTAAAATAACACTTTTTATTTCTTTTTCAGTGTGCGCGACAAGGCTTTGCATTAGGTTTAACTGTTTTAACTGGCACTGTTCATAACATTAAGGTTGAATCCTTCCTTAAACTTGTAGTCAATTTGCTGGAAGTAACTTCATCAATGAAGGGTCAGGTAAGAAATCAGTGGCATGGTTATTTTGTTTTAGATCGTTACCCAGCATGATAAGTGCTATATTATAATATTTGCATGTTTCTCGTGAAATTGCAGGAAGCAAAAGATTGTCTATTAGGGCGCTTATTTGCCTATGGAGCTCTGGCAAGATCAGGAAGACTTATAATGGAGTGGAATATAGATAAAAACACTCCTTACATAAGAGAATTTATTACGGTTCTTATTTCTCTTGCCAATAAAAAGCGATACTTGCAAGAGCCTGTTGTTCTAATAATATTAGATATGGTTGAAAAGGTTTGTATATTAAAATCTTCAGAGTTTTTCTTATAATTCAGTCATGACATGATCATTCTTTACTTACATTCCCGCAAAAAGATTTTTCTATCCACCCATATACATGGGTAAAACTATGCTTGGGAGAGATTTTCTATAGCCATGGCTTGTTTCCTAGTATGTATATATGTAATAAAGTGAAAGTAGCCTTTTGACTTATGGGATATTTTGATGCATTCAGGACTAAATTGCTGGTGCATTTTATGTCAGATTCTTGGATATTGTTATGATATTCTTCAATTTCTTCTGGGTTTCAGGCTATTATTATTCTCCTTTTGGTGCTATTTTATGATTCACAAACATTTGTACTCTTAGCATATCCATGTATGCATACATGCAACTGCATACGTTCTCATAGCACGTGCAAAACCTTGAAATTCTCTCATTGGTTATTTCTTTTACAAGTGTTTTATTTGACTAATGGTTTATTCTGAAACTCACCTTACACTGTTACACGTTATTGCTTATTGCTTATTGCTTATTGCTTATTGCTTATTGCTTATTACTTATTTTATTATCATAGTTGCCCGTTGAAGCCTTGGTGAATCATGTTCTTGAAGCTCCAGGGCTGCATGAGTGGTTTGAAGCTGCTATAGAAGTAGGAAACCCTGATGCTCTGTTCCTGGCTTTAAAACTTAGAGAGAAGAGCGGTATGGACAGCTCCTTGTTTGGCAAATTACTACCAAATCCATTCAGCTCTAGCCAGCTTTTCTCTGCCGATCACCTGTCCTCTTTAAGTAATTGCTTGAAGGTAGATTATATAAATTCACTAATATGTGACCAATACTGTTTTGGATGTAGTAATAGAAAGAATTTACAACTTATTTTCCGAATTTGGCAGGAATCAACATTTTGTCAACCTCGGCTTCATAGTGTCTGGCCAGTTTTGATAAATATTCTTTTACCTAATACTATTGTGCAAATTGAAGATGCAGCATCCGCTTCAAATTCATTAAAGAAACACAAAAAAAGCCGAAAATCTAGCTCTTCTGATGAAGAAATTGCGGGGAATCTTCAGTCTTTTTGTGAAATAATTATTGAAGAATCCCTTCTCATGTCATCTCATGACCGGAAACACTTAGCTTTTGATGTTCTCTTTCTTCTACTCCAAAAGCTGCCTGCGTCATTACTTCCCGTTGTTTTGTCATATAAAGTTGTTCAGTGCATGGTTGACGTACTATCCGCAAAGAACACATGGCTGTATAAAGTAGCTCAGCATTTTCTTAAACAGTTGTCAGATTGGGTGGGGGATGACGATGTCAGAAGAGTTGCTGTTATAGTGGCTATTCAGAAGCACAGCAGTGGAAAATTTGATCGTGTAACACGAACAAAACATGTTAAAGATTTTATGTCACAGTTCAAAACTGAACCTGGTTGCATGCTCTTTGTTCAGAACTTAATTAACCTGTTTGTGGATGAAGGTAACGCTGTGGAGGAACCTTCAGACCAGAGTCAAACCACAGATGAAAATTCTGAAATAGGATCTATTGAGGATAAGGATTCTCCCAGGTCCAATGGGAATTCTGACTTTTTGAAGAGTTGGGTTATAGAATCCCTTCCCAGTATTTTAAAATTCTTGAAGCTAGATGATGATGAGAAGTTCCGAGTACAGAAAGAAATCATGAAGTTTCTGGCTGTTCAGGGTCTATTCACTGCCTCTCTTGGCTCTGAGGTAACGTCATTTGAGTTAGTGGAGAAATTCAGATGGCCAAAATCCCCCACATCAAATTCTCTCTGCAAGATGTGTATAAACCAGCTGCAATTATTATTGGCAAATGCTCAGAAAGGGGAGGGCTCTCGTCCTTTGGCTAATAGTTCTGAGCCAAATGATCTTGGTTCATACTTCATGAAATTCTTTGGCACCTTTTGCAACATTCCTTCTGTTTCCCTCTTCCGGTCTTTAGATGATGTAGATCAAAAGGCAGTAAAAAGTTTGCAGGCAGTGGAAACAAGATTATCCAGAGAGGTAATGAATCTTGTGACCTTTTGATACTTAGATAAAAAGTTAAAGCTAGGTAATTCCATTTGTTAATGAGTGTTGTCCCATGTGTAAGAATCCCCAAAATGTTGAAGTTGAATAGGAGGGTGGTTTGTTAGTTGTTTTTCCTTGTGTATGTACCTACCATCGCTGTATTTTGGGCTTGTATAATTCTTTTTAGAATATTTAAGGCATTGTTTTTAGAATTTTTTATACTTGTATGATTGTTTCCCAAGATCTGGTATATTTAGCTTCTTAGTGACTCTGGGCAGATTAGCAGAAAGTGTAGTCTGTTGTGTTTATTGTTGGTAAGTTAGGAATATGAAAGATAAAAAGGCTAATACATTCTTTGCAATTTACATGGTGAGGATCAAAATTTTGTTCTGTTCAACAAAACGAAAGTAGGAAAAATAACTGGGTGATGATGGTAAACCTAAGATATTGTGGTTATTTTATATATATATATATATATATATATATATATATATATATATATATTCTTGTAATCTTTGACCTCCATATGTATTATGTTTTATAGTCTGATTATCTTGTTATTCTCTAAATGAAGAAAGTATTGCTTATCATTGTGTTCTGAATATATTAAATGCGTTTACGTTTTCAATTTATACTGTAGTTATGAAGAATTAGGACGATGAGTAGAAGCATCTTTTACTGTCTGTGTGCTTCTGTATTTTTACAATGAAATAATTTTTTTTGTTGAATGACATTTATTCAATATATATATATATATATATATATCCTAATTATACTCTTCTCTTTTATATTGTCCTAATCAGGAACGGAGCCATGATTGTAACACTGATGCTAATAAATTGTTTGCATTGAGATACCTGCTCATCCAACTGCTTCTGCAAGTACTTCTTTGTCCAGGGGAGTACGCCGAAGCTGCATCTGAACTCATTATTTGTTGTAAAAAGACATTTTGTGGTTCTGATCTTCCTGAGTCCTCTGGAGAAGATGTGGAGGCTGATGATGCTCCCAAACTGATGGACGTTCTTGTGGATACATTACTCTCTCTGCTACCACAATCATCAGCTCCTATGCGATCTTCCATAGAACAGGTTATGATAAAATATGTGGGGTTTATGTTTTACAACTTTCATTGAAGTGATTCGAAGAAAATGATCTTTTCCAACTTCACAATTCTACATTCGGTAGATTAGAATAACAACTTCACCTAGGACTACATGCAGAAAGTGTAACAAGTGATTCTTGATTTTGTTTTTGATGGGACAGTTTAGATGTTTAGATATTCTATTAACAATGAAAAGTATGTTGTCAAACTTCTCCCCTATTTAAAATCCTTTCAAATTTATCTATAACATAAACCGCCGCTATAGTGAAACAAGTCATTATTTTTCCAACAGGCATGTATTATTTTGTTTAGTTTAAATGAAATTTACTAGATTTCTATGGTTGGAAGTAATTCTTTATATGGGCTTTATGGAGCCTTCAAAACCAGAATGCCCCATTCCCAACTCATTTGTTGAATTTCAGACACCATCTACTCTAGATTTCTTTCCTTTTTTCTCATCATATCTAAAACGAGCATTTGCAAGTCTCAGATGAATTTTTTCACCTTGTTTGTGCCAGTTATGATTCTTGAACTGTATGTTGATTGAGGCCATTCTTCCAGTATTATATTCCCATTTCAAATAGCTTAACCGGTTTGGTATTACTTGTCTTGAAATCTTGAATGGAGGCTATAGACATGCTAGTTAGTATAATGAATACAATCTTGATTGGGGTCTGAGTTTTGAACATGTCATGTAGATTTGTTTTAGATGGATTGACAATTGTGCAGTGTTAGAAAGAGATTTGTTGCAAGAAAATATCCTTTAAGAAGACATAGTAGGGGGTTGGACTTGTAATTTAAATTTGATCTAGATATCATGTCTTATCTACTGTTTTTTTTTTATCTAAAACGGCTATATATGTGTAGGTATTTAAATATTTTTGTGGTGATATCACTGATGATGGATTGATCCGAATGTTGCGGATCATCAAGAAAGAAATAAAGCCTGCAAGACATCCAGATACAGCGAGTGCAGATGATGATGAGGAGGAGGAGGAAGATGATGACTTTATTAATATTGAAGATGAAATTGATCAAGCTGAAACAGGTGAGAGTGACGTCCAGACAGATGACTCTGAGTTAGTCGTTGAGGTGGAGGAGGCTGATCATGGCCACTCTGAAGCTTCTGATGATTCTGATAGTGGGATGGATGATGATGCTATGTTCAGGATTGATACATATCTTGCCCAGATATTCAAAGAAAAGAAAAATCATGCTGGAGGTGAAACTGCACATTCCCAGCTTGTATTGTTCAAACTTCGAATCCTTTCATTGTTGGAAATTTTCCTTCATGAAAATCCAGGTAATTATACATTACTCATAATATTTATCACTTTTTGGGTTAGCTTTATTCTTGGAGAACTGTTATATATACATGCATGTAATAAGAAAAGTTAAAAAATGAATAATACTATTTCATATTTTACAATTACATTTTACTAAGGTTCAATAGTTCCTGATTTGTTGCAATACTAACGAGTTATTGACGTGATTTTCTCACCTTTAAAGTGTCGTTCTTCTAGTGTATTGCTCATGATGTTTTGCTACTCTACAGGTAAGCCTCAGGTTCTTATGGTCTACTCAAATTTGGCTCAGGCTTTTGTTAACCCTCACACAGCAGAAGTTAGTGAGCAGCTTGCACAGCGGATATGGGGAATATTACAAAAGCAAATATTTAAAGCAAAGGATTATCCAAGAGGTGACGGTGTCCATTTATCCATCATTGAATCTCTGTTGGAAAAAAGTCTAAAACTAGCTTCAAAACCATTTAAAAGACAGAAGTCAAAGCAATCAGCTGCCTGGAACAGACAAAGAATGGTTTCATCTCTTGCCCAAACCTCGACCTTCTGGATTTTGAAGATTATTGATTCAAGAAATTTCTCTCCGTCTGAATTGGAGAAGATTATTCAAATTTTCCGCGACGTATTAATGGGATATTTTGAAAATAAGAAATCTCAAATCAAATCTGGGTTTTTGAAAGAAATATTTCGAAGACGACCATGGATTGGACATGCTGTATTTGGCTTTATTTTGGAGAGGTGTGGAAGTGCCAAGTCAGATTTTCGACGAGTGGAGGCTCTTGATTTGGTAATGGAAATAATGAAGTCGCTGACGTCAGGCAACAGTGATGAACAGACTGCATCGAAAAAGATTCTTAAAAACAATTTGGATAAACTTTGTCATCTAATGAAAGAATTAGCAACTAATGTGCCAAGTAAACCGGCAAGGCGGACAGAGGTACAGAAGTTTTATGTAAAGGTTTTGGAGATCCTGTCTAAGCTTAACCTCACCAAGCAATATTTTAAAGCTTTGGCACCTGATACCGAAGCTGCCCTTCAGGCTCAACTTGGTGAGCAATTCATTAGTTTGAAGAAGCTGGAGAAATAAACATCACACTTTACAATTGCTGCCACACGCGACAGAAGAAAAGGAAACAATTAGAAATAGACAGTGCTGTTCAGGAGATACTTGAATTCATTCTGCTCGACTTGTATGGTGATGAAAACGGTGCTACTAACACCCTTGAGGTGTTAGCAGTGAGAATTTTTGGTATAACTTAATTGTTTAGATGTTATTTTTTTTAATTGTTCTTTTGGACATGCTATGGATTTTGTAAACTATTATTATCTGGTGAAAGAATTCGTTTCAAATTTTATTGTCTCCCGCGAGCAATTACTAAATTCAAAGAAGTTTTGTCCTCCCAAGTTGCAAAAGGCGCAGCTTCGTTGAAGTGTGCTTGTTCTCTGCATTTAGTAATTTTTCATTAAGAATTTGGTATCAATTATCCTGTATTAATTACCTAGGGTGCTGGATTTCTAATTCTATTGGCAAAGCGTCCTTCCATCGCAGGCACAAATTATACTGCTTCTTGTTGTGATTCTCCCATCTCAGTTAAATTATTCAATTAGTTTCCATGTCAAAATTTTATGAATGTTCCTTGGTTGATCAAGCATGTGCTCGTCACATTAAATACAATAAACGAGTACATAAAATGAGACATCCCAAAATTCCTTTCGACACAATGCGAAAATTTAAAAAGCACAACACAAAAAAGTAAAGCTTTTTCAAAGAAGGTTGTTCCATTCTATTTACTGTTGTAATGTGTACAAGGTAAAACTCAAAAAACACTAATTCTCTCGGATCTATTCCTAACCTTTAACGATTCTATCCTAGAATTTTCACCACATTTAAGCCTACTTTCTGGCCTACAGATTGTTTTGACGATTACTTCGGTTTCCAAATCATTTGTACAACTATGACACCACAAGTCCTGGAGCAAGTGGTCGGCGCCACAATCCAACCGTTACTACTTTCACCAAAACGAACTAACAAACGGTCACAATCCCTGAAAATAAAGATAATCACAAATTTAGTGTAACAATCCATAACCTTTGAAAATAACACAACATGGAATGGGCGTTGCATACCTCATGCATTCAAGCGAGCCCTCAGAGGAAGCAAATAAAGCAACCATTTTCTTTACCCGCCTACCCCAAAAGATCAGTTTGATCATAAGTTCCAAAATCACAAGGGGTGGACTGCTACAAATGCCCATTGTCTGCTTCAGAATCGCTCCCCGAGGAACTCCCTGAATCCGAATCTGCAATAGCCATCAAACATTAGCATTTTTACTTCGGAAAACTATTTTCAAATGCAAACCAAAGGCTATATTGAGAACAAGTGAATACCACTTGACGATGATGAATCACTGCTTGAACTGCCAGAGCTACTAGAACTACTGCTTGCATGCCCTCCACCAACATCTTTATCTTTCTCAATCTCCACAGGGGGAAACATACTCATTGGCATCTCGTCTCCAATGTCAATATCCTCATCCCCTGCTTCTACTTTCTTCGGCTTCTTCACCTCAATTGCACCCCCATCAACCTTCTCGCTAGCAGCCAATTCCTGTCATTTGAATGGTATAAAAATCAACAAAGTTAATATCCTGTTCAACCCTATCGTCAGTGCTAGGCAATTATGCAAACCCATTAAGCAAAAATTAGGCAGATAATTTACCCCGTTCCCTCTGCTAGACTGCTCATTGTTGTTGTTAATATTGCCCATCAATGCCTGCCTCTTAATCTTGCTAACCATCTTCTTATAATTAGTCACTAACCGATCAAGTTCCCAAAGGGTCTCTGTGTCAACAGCCTCAATATCTAGCTCGATCTCATCCCCATCCTGCTTCAAATGCCCGTTCCTCCTCCTTATGATCTGCACCACCTGTTCCATTTTCTCTGCTGGCAAACTCTGCAACCCTAACCCCAATTTGTGTTTCTCCTCCAGACTCATCTCCCTCTTGTTGGGATCCTTAGCCTTTGGCTTCGGTTGTTTCAAAGGCTTCACAGGAGGGGCTCGCATTGGAGATGGCGTGCGCACAGGAGACTGCAACAATGGGGGGTTTGATGAACTCGCAGGGGGCTGGGGAGGCTCTTGTTGCAATTTCGGAGGAGGGATTGGATTCTCCTTCTTTTTCACCCTCTCCGGCTCCACGTGGCTCCAAGAACTAGCCTGCAATTCCTCATCGTAATCTTGATCTTGTCTAATCCAACCTTCAGATTTGTCGCGCATCGGCCGATACAGCTCCTCAAACCTTGCCAGAAGCTGCTCCGCCATGGTGTATACGTCATGGCCCTTAGGGTTATAAGTCAGTGCATTGTTGAAAGTTAACCTCACATCAGAAGCGAAATCCGAAGGCGTGGAGTACACGTTCTTAGAGAGATTCAACTTCACAGTACCCAGATCCATGGGTTGCTTAATTATATCATAGTAATCGTGGAGTCCCATTCCGACAACATCAACAGGAACATTGAAGATCCACCCATGTTTGTGTTTCATCAGCTTCTGCAAAATCTGCGAGCAAACCTTCATCGTGTTCCCAACTTCCGAATGCGACCGTTTCAATTCCTTAACGGAATTCAACGGTAAGGGTCGTTTGTTGCCGGAAACCTTTTTGCTTGACGGTTTCTTCGGGTGGCCGTTGGAGCTCTGCCCGGGCTGTAACTCGCCGGATTCGATTCGATTTCTGCACTTGCGAACCTGTTCAAGCTCCGACACAAGGCGATTTTTGATGTCGTTGAGCTCCTTCTTTGTGCACGTAGATATGCTGAAGCACACGTATTGAGAGTGACTTACGCCAGCGTCGTTCGATCTCCTGTTGATAGAGGAAGCATCGTCGGACGCCGATTGGGTCCTTTTGCTATTCGCTAATTTAGGATTAGAATTAGGGTTAGGGTTAGAAAAAGGTACTTTTCCCATGAATCCAGCTCCACCGCCTCTATGCTGTGGCCAATTCGGTTCGTTCCGGTTAGCAAGGACGGCGGAAGCCATAGAGGTGCGAAATCACGGCCGTCCGGTGAGATTCCACCGTCCCTCCGGCGTGAACTCTCCAATGCGGGTCGAACAACGCATAGGTCAGCGGTGAACTAGGAATCACGCGCGAACTGTACCCTCACGCGCTGACGGAATCCCTTACGCGCCGCCGGCGGAGTCACCGAATTGAAAGAGAAGGTCGGAAAAGTTTAGACGTAGCGTTTAGGGTTTGTAGCTCGGGTTACCCTAATCTGTGCGAGGAATGAAAGGGGCAAGAGCCGCTTCTTAAAGGCAATGAGATCTGCCCGTGGGTGCTTCGGGAAGCTCTATCTACCGTTGATTCGTTCTTGATTCATGATCTAACGGATGGCGTCGTTTTCTCAGCTGTCCCGAAAGCTGACCGCAAGATCTGGCACGGAGGGTGATGATTTCTTGATTCTTCCACGTGTTGCATTTTGAACCGCTAGATGGAGTAGACCCGTGTTTTGATTTGGATTTGAGTTTGAAGTGCATTTGGGGTGAATGTGTTGTGCATTTAGGGTTTGACAGTGGATGGGGCCCACATTGGTGACGTGGATAGAGGCCAAACTGGCGTTTCCAGCGTGTGGGAGGGAAGTTACGCGCAGCGCGTGGTTACGAGGACAACGCGTGTCAGCATGAAGGGTAGTATAGTAAATAACGTGTAGTTTGGAAGAAGACCGGTTCTTTGATTCTTATGTTTTCACCTAATTATAATATCACCCATATTGGCGCTTTTTATTATTTTCTGAACCATCATTTTTCTGACGCAAATAAAATTTAATCAACTCACTTATCAATTTAGAATCTGTCAAATCTGAAAATGCATTCTGAAATTTAGTATCTCATTTATTTATTTAAGAAAATAATAAGCATTTCGTATTATTTTTAAAAACTACCTTAAAAAATTAGCTGTTTAAAAGTTATACTCTTAATTTAATATCTATTATTTTAGTTAATCATAGGGATGGTGCAGCAACCTGGCTAAAAGGGGCTGCAAAAGCGATTTTGTTGAAGTGATATTAAATTCAGTTGCCACTTTTTTTACTGGTTTTAAGACTTGTACCAGAACTTTAACATTTCAACTTCTTTTATATAATTAAATTTATGTAAACAAATATTTAAACATGTAGATTTTACTAAATTCAATATAAATCATTCTTTAAACATATAAAATATATTTGTAATGAATAAGTTAAATTGTTATATAATGTCACAGTTAATTGACTATGGTTTTCTCTATAGATAGGGAAAAAATGTAAGTAAGATATTAATAATAATGAATATAAGGATAATGATAAATAATAATAATAATTCGAATGATTGAGAAAGAGATGTTTATGCATAGGGGTGTGATGAAATGTATATTAAATGATAAAACAGAAAAAGAAAAAAAAAACAAGAATTTGTAATTGAAGAAAATAAAGAGACGGACCAAGTTATATGTGAATAAATTATATGTTACTTATTTAATATTTAAAAAATAAGTTATTTAGTTCTGATACAAATCATTTCAATTCCTTTAGTTTCTATAAAATTTAAACAGCAGGATTAAGAAAATATGCATTTGGATTAAAAGTTTGTATAAAAGCTAAAATATTTGTTTTTTACTTCAGAGCATAAAAGAAATAAGATTTAAGAGCTGTAAAGATGAAATTGGAAATTAAATTAAAAAATATTCAATAAATGAAAAATCTATGTTACTTCATCAACCATTTTTTTATTTAATTTGATTGATATACTAATATATTTTTTAGGATTCATGAGTTAGGTTTTTGCAGTTTTTTTATATTAAATCCAGTTCAAATCAACTCGTTTGGATTAGGTTTGGTTACTATTTTGAATTAATTAAAAATTATAATTTTCAAATATCAATATAATTAGAAAAATAATATAATAGTTTCAAAAAATAATTCAAGATATCAAACTAGCAAGTCAAACTATAATTAGCTTAATCAAATTAATTCAGAACATGAAAAGTAAAATCATGAACAATTTGTTCATAAAAAATATAAAAATGAATGTTGGATCAGGTCTTAAATATCAATATTATATGAGATTAGTTTTTTTGTTGAATTGAGTTGACCCAATAATAAATAGAATTTAACCCAATTAGGTTGGACTGAATTGGATTATTAAGTAATCTCATCTTATGAATACCCTTAATATTAAGCTGATTTATAATAATTTAGTAGATAATTGGTCTAACTGAATTTTAAAGATTCCACTAGTTTTTAAATCACTTGGACAAGAATTTTAATTGTAAAAGAAAATTATAATTGAATGTATATGCATACTAAAATTAATATATATATTTTTGACAAATACGTTAAAAACATAATCAAATATTCTAACTATTCATCATGAACGACATATATTATATACGTGTTTATAAAAGCACATCAACAATACCACTCTATATTTTATCTTGTTTTGTATATTATTATATATTATATTTTCATCAATGTATATCCTTAAAATTTATCTCGTTTTGGTGTTGTCTATATAATAGAAAAATTTATATATAAAAAAAAAAACAGGTATCAAAATATTTATAGTATAGAATGTTTTGTGGTCATGGAAGTGGACATATTTGGGAGCCATTTGGCGTTAGAAAAGCAATGTGGCTCATGCATGCCTCCCTTACTTCATTCCTACACACATTATAACTTAATTTCCTAACATTTGTTGCATCTTAGGTTTTTGTGTTCATTACTTTGTCCTCTCTTATTTTGTTATGTTTTCTAAAATATTTTTGTAAGAATCAACCAACATAATAAATTATTTTATTTTAATGAAATAATTATGCACTTTTCTATTTTGGAGTCTACTTTTTTTTCATAAAGTTGGCAATAAATTATTTAAAAGTTGTTGTAAGTATTAAGATTATAATATATCAAATATAATAAATATGTTATTGAAATTACAAAGACGGAAAAAAAAAAGAGTTTTGCCAATTGAAACAATTTAAATATATATATCACATGCTCATCTGCAACCAAAGAAAAGGAAACAATTTTTTTTTTCAAAATTCATAAATTTCAAGATTTATTTTTTAATCCCACGTTTTAAAATAACAGTGAGTTAAAATACCATTTATTTTTGGATAAAATGTATTTATCTGCTAGTAAAATTTTTAATATATTTCTCAACAAATTTCATATTATTTTGCTTTTTTTAGTTTAAATATATTTATTTTAAACTATGTCTGTATTAATAATAGATAAAACTAAAATTAATCACGATACTAATATTTTAAATTTTACATTTATTTTACTTAAATGTATAATTAATACTGTATTAACACTGTTATTTATGATAAAAAAAATTATTCTGTTACCAGTGAAGATGGAAATACAGACATTTAATAACCGTAATGAGTCAATAGCAGTCCGCACATAGTCAAGAAGAGTGACACAACATTATATTTATTATAATTTTATAGATAAGTTAAATGAATATTTTTTAAATAAGTTTATACTATGCTATTTAACGAAATGTTTATTAAAAAGTTAAATGAATATTTTGGATACTATATTTTATTTTTATGGATTTTTATCTTTGTCTGGAATTGAACAAAAACTATAAAATTTATCTGTAATCCTTTTAGTAAAAAGGTTACAAGAAATTTTGTTCATAAAAAAAATTGTAAGAAAATATGAAAAAAAAATCTATAATTTTCATAACATATAAAGAACTAATCATGCTTTTATAAAAGCCAAATTTTCATTTTATAAGAATGCAAAATTAATAGAAAAAATCTATATAACTATCCCCTAGAAAATGTGCAGGCTGGTATCATACTGCACAAGCACTTATTAAAATCATTGGTAGAAGCACAATCTGGTTGGGAATGACATAACAGGTTGATTTAAGGTAAACACTTGTTATTTAAAAGAAAAAAGCTAAATCCTTATCTAAAATTTCACATGACGTAAAGCATGTCTTTATCATTATATAAATTATTTATCATTATATCTATAAATACGCATCTATAACATTTGTACCGTATGATGTGAAATGCTGATTTAGGATAAAAGCTTAACTAAATTTTAACATAGAAATACACAGCATTTATTATTATTTTCATATTTTAAAAGTAATATTAATATTAATATTAATATTAATAATAGTTAAGTTTGCTATTAATTCACTGATACATAGGTTAAATGATTTTGTTTCATATTAATTAACCTTAGGCGATTTTATAGAAAATTAATTAGTTTTGTAATGTTCATTTACCTATTACTATTACTATTATTATTATTATTATTATTATTATTATTATTATTATTATTATTATTATTATTATTATTTAACTTCCAAAAGTGCTATTACGTAACTGATTTTTCACTACCAAATAATTGTTAATCAGGGTTTAGTGTTAGTAGATAAATTAGTAATATTTCACATTTTAATTTTAATTAAATTATTTTCCATAACTACTTCAACTTATCTTTCATTCCATTTAAGATATAAAAGTCGTTAATATATATATATATATATATGCTTATGCTTTTGAATTGTTCGTACAGAGAATGAGATTTCCATGGGTTGGTCCTTTTGGTCCTTCTACACTTTTTTTTTTGACAATTTCGTTTTACTATTGCATCGTTTACTTTTGTTTGGTTTTGCATTTGGAATGTGTGATCAACATTTTCTCTATTTAGTATATATTGTTATGATTTTTCATATCTACTTAAATTTTCCAATTTTAATCTTAAACATGCTTCATTCCAATTTTAATCTTAAAAAAAAAATCAAGGATGATTTTACTAGTCATTTAATGTTATTTTTTTGTTTCATCAATTAGTCATTTTTGTATTACTATCACCATGAAATATGAATTATATTCTTACTTTTCGGTTAAAATTAAGAAATAGTGATTTATTTTAGCATGAATAGTACATTAAAGCGCTTCTTGTACTATATGTTTAAAATTGTATATTAAATCAATATTAATTTAACTAGAAAATACATAATTAATTATTATTAACTTTATAAGATCTGAACTTTTAGTTGAGATAATTTTTAAATAGATATAAAATAAAAAGCTTACATAGATTGTAGATGTTTATTATTTATCTCTTCATGCATTTTATTTCTTTAACTTTTGGAATTTCTTTTACGTTTGATAATAATATGAATACTATAATAATATGAGTACTATGGTAATGTCAAATTATATCCTCGAGAAAAAATAAATAAAAAGGTAACATAAAGTTGAA